CTATTACTCCTATACTAATCTCATCAGCCATTTCCATATCTAACTTTAAGATCAAGGGAAAATTCCTTTTTCTGTAAGATTGCTGATTGTTGTTTTAAGGAACTACAAATATTTCATCAGAGGCAGGGCCAGAGATTGTTATAGCTTTAAGTTTTTAGAATAGTTAATACATGACATATCAGTAGTTGTAACATTGACTATTTCCAAGTGCATTATTTGTGCTGCAGTGGTTATTAGCTCCACCAGTCACAAAATTGCTGTTGACTTATTCTTGAATGCATACTCTAACAGCTACCATACCAGTTGTCACCTCCAGGGGAATCAGCCCTAAACAAACAGGAAGAATTTAGCAGGAGCAGGCTGTGGTGCCTCTTGGCTTATTAGGAATTTTCTTACATGTGTAGTATGGCTCCTGTCAGCCACCCAACTGCTACCTTTAACTTTAAAGTAAAATAATTTCCTTCTCCATTTAGCCCTTGCCTCAAAAGACCACATCTCCATATTAAAGACTTGGCCAAGGGATGTTTACAGCCTTTTGTTCCCAGAAGTTTTTTCAAATGTTAATGTAAGGCCAATTGTTGAATTACTGCTTTTTGGCAGAGAATTACTAATTTTATAAAAATGTAATATTTGTATCACGCAGTGCCATTTGCCATCAAATTGGTTATTCAGTAATTGATCAACCAGCATTTGCAGTTTTCCTTTTAAATGTGTATTTTAGCAATGGTAGAAACTAGCCATAAACAAACAAGGAGAATCTAGCAGGAGTCAGCTAATGAGATTCCTGACTTTTCAGGAATCTGCCCCATGTCCAGACCTTTGTCAGAGGACATGAGTAGCATGACTCCCAGCATACATCCACTTGTATAAAAGCACAAGGGAAGATGACAACAGAAGACAATGGGTAATAAATACAAATTAACACACACTGTTAGGGGGAAAAGGATGTCTTAAAGCTATTTTCCATACAGGCTTTGTGGACTCCACCCCCCAACCATTCCAAATCCCATCACCACCAAAGGGAAGGTGGCTGGGACTTGAGGGTGGGGTTCAGCAGCCAGGATGGTATAAAACCAGACACGTGAGCTTTGGAGGGTATCCCCCATTTTGGGTACTCTGCCACATCACAGCGTCCAGCCAGCTCTGAGAGTGCCTTTGAGTTTCCAGGTCGGCGGATCAGGTAGGGCGCATTAAAGACTTTATTTCCCTATTTTCTCCCTGAGTTTTACATTTCCTTATTTCCTTTTCCCCTGTAAATAAACATTTTATTAACCTTTTGTGTGTGCCTGCAGTGGAGTATTAATAAGTCCCTTTTAAGCGTGCAGGTGAGGACCCACAGCCAGGCAACCCGTGTTATATGGGGGTTGCCATATAACAGTTTGGCGCCAACATGGTTTCCAAGCTTCACCCGTAATCGACCAGCCCAAATTAATTTTTCTTATGTTGGTCACCATAAAATAGGGCAACCCCCATATAACAACACAACAAGACAAATTGTTAAAACTATTACAATCTCTTTAGAGTCACACACCACTATGATGTCTGACTCCTCCCTATGTTATAAAACCCGTTTTATATTGGGATTGCCTGGCTGTGGGTCCTCACCCGCGCGCTTAAAATGGACTTATTAATACTCCACTACAGGTACACACAAAAGGTTAATAAAAGGTTTATTTACAAGGGAAAGGGAATTAAGGAAATGTACAACTCAGGGAGAAAATAGGGAAATAAAGTCTTTAATGTGTCCTACCCGATCCGCCGACCTGGTAACTCAAAGGCACTCTCAGAGCTGGCCGGATGCTGCGAGCTGGCGGAGAGCCAAAATGGGAGAGCCAATCCAAAGCCCACGTGTCTGGCTTTTATACCAAACCTGGCTGCTTAACCCCACCCTCAGGTCCCAGCCACCTTCCCTGTGGTGGTGATGGGATTTGGAGTTCCCAGTGTCTTTTGGATTTGGTCTGGAGTGGGGAGTGGAGTCCATAAAGCCTGTATGGAATTAGCTTTAGGACATCCTTTCCCCCTAACACCTATGATACAGTTAACAAGTTTGTCTTTCCCCCATTTTTTGCAATTCCCCTTATCTAGCATTAATAGGATTGATGACTTGTCTTTCCCATTTGTTGCAGCTTCCCCTCCCCTTGGGAAGAAAAAAAAAGCTGGCGCCACCGGTTTCCCTGTAGACCCTTCCCCCTCGCCCTAAGGAAAACAAGTTGGCGATCACCGTCTCTGTGCCTTGACACCTTCCCCTTCCCTTAAGATGAATGAGCTGACACCCATCCATCTCCCTGTTGAGCTGGCGCCCACTTGTCTCTGTGCGGACCCTTTCCCCCTCCCCTTCGCGGACCCCTACCCATCTCCCCCTGTATAAATACCCCTGCCCGCTGCCAAAAAGGAGGACGGTGGTTTTTTGGACATGAGTCTGCCGCCTTCCTCATTTGTCGACAAATAAAACCGCTTTCCTTTTCCTCAAACTTAGTTTCCTTTTATTGGCTGAGGGAAACTGAGGCCGGCGTTCGGTAACACCTACTGCCCTGTCTCTGTCTTCTCCTCCCACCTGAATGACTTCACTGTCCCCTGGGGGAGGGATCACACCTTCTTCCCTGCAGGTCTGGTGCTCAGGATCCTGCTTCCTCTGGCAGTTGTGGTTCCTGTGACCCTTTGCCACAGGACGTGGAAGGACTGAGTCAGCACAGGGGCACCTGGAGCTCAGGTCACAGCTCCCCAAGTCACCCCGAGTCTGAAAGTCTCTTCTTCACTCTCATCAAAATTCAGGGAGCAGTTCTCTTTCCCAAATGGTGTTGACACAAAAGAAGAACTTAGATTCTTCTCCTGAGTTCACCAAATTAACACACCACAAGATTATCACTGGTAATAGAAATTCATCAGGTCTGATAAAGTTTTATCTTTTTTAAAAAAAACATTATTTATACAAGAACCGGGGTTCAGGCCAGACTCACGGTAGGGTGAGAGAATTCACCAGAGACAGAGCGGGGAGCAGAACAGGCAGACTGATGAAACACACTGCTGAGGGGAACAACGGCAAGACAGGAGAGGTCTGCTCACCATGTGGGATCCTCGCCGGCTGGCTGGGTTCGAACTGGTGCTGCAGAGGCTGCGGATAGCTTCACAGTGTGGTGGTCAACCACCTGCACCACTAGGGGAGGCCCTGGGTCTGATACAGTTAAATGTATTTCATCCATTCCAGAATAGGAAGCAGAAACCAGAATATTAGGTTCCTCTAAAAGTCCATTACCTGCCATTTCCCCAAATATTTTGGAGGCAGAAGTTTACTAGGCAGATAGTCCAGACCCCTAAAAATAGATCTAGGGCTCCCTCCATCAGGCTCTAGGTGCCTTCAAACAAAGTCAAATTGGATAAAGTAAATTCCAGTTAATTTAGGAGAATCATTCAGAGCTCATCCCCTTACTTGCCCCCGCCCCCAAAGATTTATTTATTTATTTATACAAGCACTGGGTACAGTCAGAAGCGCAGGAGGGCGAGAGAATTCACCAGAGCCAGAAACAGAACAGGCAGACTGATGAAATACACTGCTGAGGGGAGCTGCAGTTGCTCCAGGAGTGGTCTGTGCGCCATGTGGGACCCTCGCCAGTGGCCAGGGATCGAACCAGCACTGCAGAGGCTGCGGGCAGCTTTGCAGCCCAGCGCTCAACCACCGCGCCACCAGGGGAGGCCCGTCCTTACTTGTCCTAAGAGGATAAAATCCCTATTAAATATTTTCTTTACCAAATGAAAAATGATTTCCCATGGATAAATTCACCCTACCCTAAACAGGTTCAAAATTATGTCTAAGCACAAGGCTGGCCTGACTGTTCTCTCAGCCACGACCCAGGAATCTGCACTCAGAGCAGGAGGACGAGACTCTAGCATCTGGAATCCCTCAGAGGTTTGTCCACAGGGATCCTGCAGCCCCAAGAAGTGCCCAGGGCAGGGCTGGGCAGGGAGGGGCCTCATGGGGACATGGTCTCAGGGGTGCAGGGGAGGAGAGGAGCTTCAGACCCTGGGGGAGCCCCATCCACACCAGAGCCTGAGGGGATCCCCTCCCCTGGGGGATTCACAGGCTCCCCCAGAGAAGGAAGATTGTTCATGGGCACAGAGGGCTTCTGGGGCCCAGCCTCAGGGGGCAGAGGGTCATGGACACGTCTCCTGAATAACAGATGAAGTATGGAAGGAGGGTCCCAGAGAAGGACTCAGGAGGGAAGGAGAAGATGTGGGAGCCATCAGTCATGTCATAGAAGGAGACGTCCCCATGATCATAGTCCAAGAAAACCCCCAGCCTAGGGGAACCTTCCTAAGGGGTAGGGGAGTAACAGGGTCAGTAAAGGCTTTGGAAATGCCAACCCACCTGGCAAAAACCCAGAACCCATTCAGTGGGGATGACGGAGCGTTGTATCTTGTTTTCTCATCTTCCCTCCAGACCCCCAATGCCCACTGAGTGTTCTCTGCATTCCTGACTTCTACCTCCCAGTAACAGCGCCCTGATGTGATGCCCTCAAGACCCCAAACACTGTATCCTCCTTCTATTCCATCATGATGACAGGCCAGACTCTTCTTGTCATGAGAGAGGACAATTCCATGACTGCAAGAACCTGGATCCAGAGTGACAGGCTCTGCAGAGAGAGAACCCATGTGCCAGCCTGACATAACAAGGACACACACCTCCTCACCCCAGATACTCAGCTTTATGGGGAGGGGATATGTTCCCTGAAATGAGAGTGGTGACCCCAGCCCACAGCCCCCAAGCAAGAGAAAGAGCCACAAGATTACCGGGAGTCAAATATGTCACAGGACCCCTGGAGACCCACCTGGACCCCAAGGACTGAGACCCTTCAGCACCCATGACCAGTCACCCCCAGCCCAGCTGTGTAACATCACAGCTACACTCACTCCACCCCCACAGAAGGTGTAGAGTCTGTGCCCACATGGAGAACAGAAGGAAAGGCCGGAAGCTGAGCAGCCCCAGAGAGAACAGAGTCACTCACAGGCCCGGAACTGCTCCTTCCGCCAATCTGCAAGAGACACACATGTCATGTGAGGGACTCTAGGTACTCACACATCAGGACCCGCACATAGTTTTCCACAGGATAGTGACAGAATTCACAGGGAGAAGTATTTGAAACATTTAGTTGATGCATTTAACTTTCAGATTCACACACACACACACACACACACACACACACACACAGACACACACACACACACAGTTGTTATGCTGCAAATTTCCCATGATTTAAGACCCAAAGCTTAATACTCAGGGGTGAGAGGCTGAACACCAACTGAACAGAAAGGTCTTTACCCAGATACGACATTCAAATTATACTTTTCAAGTCACCAGCCACAGGCCCATCCTGGAAACTAGGTTTTCTTGGACAGGTTCTATGGAGATGAAACACCCAGGACTGCGTGTGCTTGTGAAGAACTAACAGACCTGGATGTGCAGCTTCTCTCTGAGCCACGGGGCTTAGAGCTACAACCAGCCGAGGCCTGTGTGCGGCCTGATGCTCCTGCCTCCTGGAGGAGCAAAGGCCTGCAGAAGCCTGGAACTGTGGAGGCTGGTGGGTAGAGCTTTCCCCTCTGAGTTTGAATAATCTGTTTGTCCAACAAGGGGAGAAAAAGAGACAGAGAGAGAGAGAATAAAACAACGTGACTAAGCTGCACATGGGGGTGACTGACATGAGTGAGGAGACTCAGGACAGGGCAGCAGAGGGTCCTGCCCACTCAGGAGGGGGTGGAGAGGATTCTAGGAGGAAGAAAGACGTGCAGAGTAAGGATATGGACACACAAGGGGCTCAAATACTAGTGACAACTTTCCACAGTTTCATGTGTGGTGGAAACAAAACCATCCCTCTACACAGAGAAGAACACAAACACATTGGATTGACACAACTGTTTCCTTCAAGAAGAGCCCAGAAAGACGGAAGCTTCAAAGTAAAACCTCTCTGTATAAGCAGAATAATGACTTCAAATATGTCCATGTCCTCAACCCATGACCCTGTAAACATGTGTCCTTGGCACAGGAGAGAGAAACCTGCAGGTGGGACAGAGACAGGGACCTGGAAACAGGGATGTTATTAAGGATCATCAGGGGGAACCAATCACATGAGCCTTAACAGCCGTGACCCTGCACCTGTGGTAAGAGACAGTCACATGGTATCAGCAGCAGGGCCAGAAAGAGGCTGCATGGCAGGCTGCTGCGACCCCGCTGCAGCAGTCAGGGGTTCCTGAAGGATGGGAAGGCGTGGGTGCAATAGTGTAATGATGGGGAGGGGGAGTGAGGAGACGTAAACACTTGATTGAAAGGTCAATGCAGGGGCCAGGAATGAAGAAGCCCTGATCAAAACCAACCCGGTCAGCCTTAGTCCGGCTTCCAGCCGGGCAGTGGGCGCCGGCGGCTTCTTCTTCCCATCTCCCTTGGAGGGGCCATCCTCCTCTTCCTCCTTTTGACCCTCCTTCTCTTCCTATGGCACTTCGCCAAATAATCATGAAGAACAAAAAGACTCAGCTGTCCTGTGGATCACCAGCGCCTGACTCTTGACTCTCCCAGGGTGAGCTGTTGCCTCTAGGGTTCCTGGGATCACGGAGGTCTCTGCTTTTTATTCAGCGATCGCTACCCCCTCTTGATTTGCGCGTTCCATTTGAGGTGAGACGTCTTTCCTCTGAGGTGAGACGTCTCCTCAGGGGGACGACCAGTCCTATTTCTTGGAGGTAAAGAGGACCACGGGATGCCGCCTTCCCCTTTCACTCTCCCGCTCAATTCCTGAGGATCGGGCCAGGGACGCTGGGACGCCGGCCTCCCTCCCCACCCTCTGTTTGAGATCCTAAGAGGGACACTCACTATGGGATCAACGCCATCCTGCATCCCAGCAGACACCCCTAGTGGTGCCTCCTAAAGGCCCTTGGCCCTCTACATTTAAAGCTGGATGTGAGACCTAAACGCCTCATTTTTATTGCACCACAGCCTGGCCCAAATATAAATTGGACAATGGCTCTAGGTGGCCAGAAATGGGCTCTTTTGACCCCCAAATTCTAACAGACTTAGGCCTTTGCCATAGGCAGAAAAAGTGGCCCGAAATTCCCTTCGGGCCAGGCTGTCTTTCTCTTGCGCTCTGCCCCTTCCCTCCCTCCTGATAACCTGCCATACTTTCAAAGTCTCTCGAGACTCCTCACCCTCTCCGGACCCCTCTTCTGCGTGCTCTGATCCTCTAAATTCTCTATCTTCTCCTCCTCCAGCTCCCCAGTCCAGTCCCTCCCCCCACTTTCTTTTCATCTCCTAGCCCCCACACCCTCTCTCTGCTTATCCTCTTCTCCCTCCCCTCAGAAAAGTGGGTGGGACTGAAGGAGGAGTTAGAGTCCATGTTCCTTTCTCTGTCTAATCTCTCCCAGATTGAAAAGCATCTTGGCTCTTTCACTACCTACACCTAAAAATTTCATTATCTTATCCAAGTCTATGACCTTACAAGTCATGATTACATGTTATCTTCTCTTCCACCCTGACCTCTAATAAAAGGGAATGTGTTTTAGGTCTGCCCAAAACCATACAGATCAGGTCCATTTGACTGACACAACCAGGCCCCCAGGCTCTGAAGCAGTTCCCAGCCCAGAGCCAGGGTGGGACTACCAGACTGACAGAGACATGGCGGCCCGGGGCTGGGGTTCACCGAGACAGTTTTATTACCTGTCCCCTAGCTGGTCTCCAACCAGCAGCGCCTAAACCTATAAGCTTTGCTAAACTCAGAAAGATTACCCAGTCTGCCTCAAAAAACCCTGCTGCCCTCCTTAGCTGATGCCTGACGGAAGCGCTCCAGCGGTATACCAGGCTTGACCCTGACTTGCTTGGAGGCACCACAGTTCTGGCTACCCATTTTATATCTCAGTCAGCCCCAGACATTAAAAAAAAACAGCTTAAAAAGGCTGAGGACAGTCCTGAAACCCTATCCGGGATCTGCTGAATATGGCCTTTACAATATTTAACAACCGGGAGGAATAGGACAGCGCAGAGAGGGAACTCCATAGTCGCCAGAAGGCTGAGCTTCAAGCTCAGGCCCTAGTAGCTGCCTTGAGACCACCAGGCCCTGCTCCTCCGATGACTGCAACACCTGCCACCCGACAGAGGACAACAATGGGCCCATGGGCCCCAACAGACCGCTGCTGGGAGCCTGCTTCAAGTATGGCCTGGAGGGCCACTGGTCCAAACATTGCCTCAGCCCCCGCCCTCAGCCAGGACCATCTGGGGTCACTGGAAAAGTGACTGTCCCTCCACGCCTGGCAGTGATGGGCCTGGCCATGGTGGGCCAGTCCTTCCAGTCCCTGCAACCCTGCAACTGGCGGTCTTGGGTTTGGTGGCTGAGGACTGAAGAGGCCCAGACTCATTGACTCCAATAATCTTTTGTTAGGGGAAAAGGATGTCCTAAAGCTAATTCCATACAGGCTTTGTGGACTCCACCCCCACTACAGACCAAAGCCAAAAGACACTGTGAACTACAAATCCCATCACCACCAAAGGGAAGGTTGCTGGAACCTGAGGGTGGGGTTAAGCAGCCAGGTTTGGTATGAAACCAGACACATGGGCTTTGAGGGATTCCATTTTTGGCTCTCTTCCATCTTGCAGCGTGCGGCCAGCTCTGAGAGTGCCTTTGGGTTTTCAGGCCAGCGGATCCGGTAGGACGCATTAAAGACTTTATTTCCCTATTTTCTCCCTGAGTTGTTCATTTCCTCAATTCCCTTTCTCTTGTAAATAAACCTTTTATTAACCTTTTGTGTGTGCCTGCAGTGGAGCATTAATAAGTCCCTTTTAAGTGCGCGGGTGAGGACCCATAGCCAGGCAACCCGTTTTATATCAGGGCTGCTCCGTAACACTTTGAGGAGGCCAGGGTAATGGTCAAGGTAGCAAGTAAGTACATCTCCTTTCTGGTTGACACGGGGACTATCTTCTCTGTCCTCCCCTCCTATTCTGGTCAAGTTTATCCTTCTCAGGCCTCGGTTACGGGGTTGACGGCCTTCCTTCTCAGCCCAGGACCACTGGTCCACTCTTTCCTGTCATGCCTTCTTGCCCCACACCACTCCTGGGTCGCGACCTCCTACTCCATCTGGATCTGAGTCTCAGCTGTCTCCCGCTAGACCTGACTCTCCAGAGCCACCGGTTCTTACGCCCCAGGTAGTAAAGTGTGTAGGTTGCAAGAAGCAGATAGAGAGGCTCTCTAGCTCCCCTTAAGAGAGACTCAGGGGGGGCCTCCCCGGTGGCGCAGCGGTTGAGCGCTGGGTTGCGAAGCTGCCTGAAGGCTCTGCAGCCCCGGTTCGATCCCGGGCTGTTCCCCGGCCACCAGAGGAGGGTCCCACATGGCGTGCAGACCTCTCCTGCTGCCCGCTGCTCCCCTCAGCAGTGTACTTCGGTCCTTCTGCCTGCTCTGCTCCCCGCTCTGGCTCTGGTGAATTCTCTCACCCTCCGGCACTTCTGATTATACCCAGCGCTTGTATAAATAAATAAATCTTTAAAAAAAAAAAGAGAGAGAGAGAGACTCGAGGACCAGTATATTAGAATCCAAACGGAACTCTCTGAGGTGGACAGATACTGGGAGCCATGCTACTCATGTCATGTGACAAAGGTCCAGGCATGGGGCAGATTCCTGAAAAGTCAGGAATCTCGTTAGCTGACTCCTGTTAGATTCTCCTCATTTGTTTATGGTTAGTTTCTACCATTGTTAAAATATGCATTTAAAAGTAAAACAGCAAATACTGTTTAATCAATTACTGAGTAAACAAATTGATGGCAAATGGCACTGCATGATACAAATGTTACATTTTTTATAAAATTTGTAGTTTTCTGCCAAAAGGCAGCAATTCAACATTAGGCCTTATATTAACAAGTGAAAAAACTTCTGGGAACAAAAGGCCAAGTCTTTAATATGGATATGTGGGCTTTTGAGGCAAGGGCTAATTGGAGAAGGAAATTCTCTTACTTTAAATATAGCAGTTGGGTGGCAGACTCAAGCCATGCTCCAAGTATAAGAAA